GATGCTGTTCCATCAAAGCTTCTAGAGCTTCCTCACAACTTTGAACTGATTCAAACGAAAGACGATCGGCAGAGTTAATTGATTACTTATCTGCGATCATCTAGGAACTGCGACAGCGACTAGAGCATAAGTGCGACATTTTCAGCTCCTATGCAGGTTCTCTCCTATTTTTCCCAATGTTTTTTTAGGAATTTTTTCCAGTACGAGTATGATATGCCAAACTCTTCAAGTGAGGGGGGGGGTAGTGTGACTGACAGCACGTACAGTACGTACCGTACGTACCGTAGCCTAGTTTTGCCTGGTGTGTATTCCCTGGTGTGTATTCCCTGGTTCCCTAGATATACTAGTTCCCTAGTTCCCTAGTTACCATGATAGTTCCTATTCCGCGCACATGTCCCTTGTGGACTGTGCTGCTCACACACACACACACAGACATTGCCTTTTCTTCCTTGTTATCATATTAATCCACTACAGTCCACCTCCGGGAGTCTTCCTTCCGGGTCAGGGCACAATCCACAGGATTCTCATTTTCGCTTTTTTGTGGAGAAAGTGCCCCCCCGCCACCTATATCTTCAGTTCCATACGACACATCAGACCAATGTAATCCAATCTCGAATAAACACCGAATATGGACGTGTTACGACTTGGCCACGCCAAATAAAAATAGACCATAAAAGGAGCGAAAAATGCAAAAAAATATATGTCGACAACTGAGAGATTCGAACTCTCGCATGCATAGCACACGGCCTTAGCAGGGCCGCGCCTTAACCACTCGGCCAAATTGCCCAATTCGCGGATCCACGGGTGTAACGCTGATAATGAGAGCGCGAAATGTGCTTTATATATATAATCCGGCCCCACAGCCAAGCGGCTGGCCTTGTTGCTCGCTTTTTGGGTGCTGGTCCTGCTGCCCCAGAGGAGAAGAACACGGCCCAAACCTGTCAACGGTTGGCGGCGCGCCCATCTCCAGGATCTGAGCATCTCTGCCTGTGTCTGTGTCTGTGCCTGTGTCTGTGCCTGTGCCTTTGCCTGTGTCTGTGTCTGTGTCTGTGTCTGTGCCGATTCTGTTCTGGTCTGCCGCGCCGAGGTCCAGGAACGCACCGGGTCTCGTCGGTGGCTAATAGAAGAGCAGGCGGAAAGACGATACAATCTGAAAGCAGGGCAGCAGGGCAGCAGGGCAGCAGGGCAGCAGGGCAGCAGGCACCAGGCAGCAGGTAGCGGGGGGTGTATCGGACATCAGGCAGCAGGCAGCGGGGTGTGCATTGGATATAAGGCAGCAGGCAGCGGGGGGTGGTGCATCAGACATGAGGCACCAGGCAACAGGCAACAGGCAACAGGCAACAGGCAGCGGGGGGTGTATCGGACATCAGGCACTAGGTATCAGGCACCAGGCAGCACGGCAGCGGGCAGCATGGAGACACTGAGGCAGCAGGGCACTACCAAAGAGTAGGCAGTAGGTGACTGCAGGGCCGGCACGAAACAGTATTAGGTTATCGGCTGCAGCAGAGTAGCAGTGCACCCGTGTAGCAGCAGAGCAAACACGGCAGGGCAACATAGACGTATATGTTCACGTCCTGGATGTCGCGCAGGGCGGTGTGGGTCACTGCTGTCGAACTCATTCAGCGAGAAGCAGAGGCGGTGCCATTTGCAGAACAGAAGTAGAGGAAGCCGCTGGACATATAAATGAGGATGCGCGCTGCTCGAGGAAGCTTTGCCCCGAGCCAGCGTAGCGAGGTGGGCCCCTGGGTCGGGTCAGAGCGGGCACCCAGCGGCGAGCGGGCATCAGCGGCGAGCGGGCATCCAGCGGCGAACGGCGAGTGGGCAGAGAATGTGTGGTGTGCCGCGCGATTTGTCTTCTGGAGACCAGACATGGCCAAGCGCATAAGGCTTTCCTGGCAAGAGGCGCTCACCAACGTCGTCGCGTGGGCCAAGACCGCGGACAAGCAGAGGCTGCAGCGGGCCATGCGCGAACGTGGCTCTGGCCATGTCAGGGGCCTGCTGGCTTCTGCCGTCTATGCGCCCAAGCAGGCAGCGTCAAACAGCAAGGCGGGGGACGGGGACTCGTGCAGGACGGTCGACGAGGACGGACAGCGAGTCCTCAGCTGCCTGGCTCTCATCTCTATGGACAACCAGATAGCACACACACCAGCATCGATAGCACAGTAGAGGAGAGGCAGCGTTTCAGGAGCAGCGGGTGGTGCTGACTGATCGTGTCCTCGGGCAGCACAGGGCAGCAGCATAAAGCAAGCAGCAGGGCAGGCAGCAAGTACCAGGCAGCAGATACCAGGCAGCAGAGGACAGTAGCAGTGTAGCAACAGAAGTGCTGAAGATGTACAGCAGGGGCAAACATGGCAGGGCAACATGGACCTATATATAAAGGGGACATACATATAAGGGGACATTTGAACATATGTGATTTTCAACACGTATGTTTCGACGAACACGGACTAGGAAACTCCCAGGCAGACTCCAGGCAGCAGGTACCAGGCACCAGGTACCAGGCACCAGGCATCAACGTAGGCAGCAGGCACCAAGCAGCAATGCAGGCAGAAGGTACCAGGTAGCAGGTAAGCAGGCCGCAATAGGGTAGGTATCAGGTACCATGCAGCAGGTACCATGAGATTCGAACTCTCGCATGCATAGCACACGACCTTTGCAGGGCCACGCCTTAACCACTGGGCCAAATGAGCGGATCCACGGGTGGAACGCTGATAATGAGAGCGCGAAATGTGCTCTATATATATGCCCTAGCGTACGCCAAAATCCGGCCCCACAGCCAAGCGGCTGGCCTTGTTGCTCGCTTTTTGGGAGCCTGTCCTGCTGCCCCGGAGGAGAAGAACACGGCCCAGACTTGTCAACGGTTGGCAGCGCGCCCATCTCCAGGATCTGAGCATCTCTGCCTGTGTCTGTGCCTGTGCCTGTGCTTGTGCCTCTGCCTGTGTCTGTGT